TACCATCCACTTTTTTCAAAGAAATGGGACAAATAATCCTAAAATTTGTATGGAACCAGAAAAGACCCTGAATAGCCAGAGGAATGTTGAAAAAGCAAAGCAAAGCTGGTGCCATCACAATTTCAGACTTCAAGCTCTATTACAAAGCTGTCATCATCAAGAGAATATGGTACTGGCTCTAAAACAGACACATAGAACAATGGAACAGAATAGAGCGCCCAGAAATGGACCCTCAACTCTATGGTCAACTCATCTTCGACAAAGCAGGAAAGAATGTCCAATGGAAAAAAGACAGTCTCTTCAACAAATGGTGTTGGGAAAATTGGACAGCCACATGCAGAAGAATGAAATTGGACCATTTCCTTACACCACACACAAAAATAGACTCGAAATGGTTGAAAGACCTCAGTGTGAGACAGGAGTCCATCAAAATCCTAAAAGAGAACACAGGCTGCAACCTCTTTGACCTCAGCTGCAGCAACTTCTTTCTAGAACATCGCCAAAGGCAAGGGAAGCAAGGGCAAAAATGAACTATTGGGACTTCATCAAGGTAAAAATCTTTTGCACAGCAAAAGAAACAGTCAACAAAGCCAAAAGACAAGCGACAGAATGGGAGAAGATATTTGCAAATGACATATCAGATAAAGGGCTAGTATCCAAAATCTAAAGAACTTATGAAACTCAACAACACCCAAAGAACAAATGATCCAATCCAGAAATGGGCAGAAAACATGAACAGACATTTTTCCAAAGAAGACATCCAAATGGCCAACAGACACATGAAAATGTGCTCAACATCGCTTGGCATCAGGGAAATCCAAATCAAAACCTCAGTGAGGTACCACATCACACCAGTTGGAATGGCTAAAATTAACAAGTCAGGAAACGACAGATGTTGGCAGGGATGCAGAGAAAGGGGAACCCTCCTACACTGTTGGTGAGAATGCAAGCTGGTGCAACCACTCTGGAAAACAGTATGGAGATTCCTCAAAAAGTTGAAAATAGAGCTACCATAAGATCCAGCAATTGCACTACTGGGTATTTACCCCAAAGATACAAATGTAGTGATCTGAAGGGGTACATGCACCCCGATGTTTATAGCAGCAATGTCCACAATAGCCAACTATGGAAAGAGCCTATATATCCATCGACAGATGAATGGATAAAGAAGATGAGGTATATAGATTGAATGGAATATTATGCAGCCATCAAAAGGAATGAGATCTTGCCATTTGCAACGACGTGGATGGAATTGGAGGGTGTTATGCTGAGTGAAATAAGTCAATCAGAGAAGGACATGTATCATATGACCTCACTGATAAGAGGAATTCTTAATCTCAGGAAACAAACTGAGGGTTGCTGGAGTGGTGGGGGGTGGGAGGGATGGGGTTGCTGGGTGATAGGCACTGGGGAGAGTATGTGCTATGGTGAGCACTGTGAATTGTCTAAGACTGTTGAATCATAGTCCCATACCTCTGAAACAAATAATATTTGTTTAAAAAAAAAAAGAAAAAGAAAAAGCAGGAAGGGGAAAATGAAGGGGGGGGAAATCGGATGGGAGATGAACCATGAGAGACTACGGACTCTGAGAAACAAACTGAGGGTTCTAGAGGGGAGGTGGGTGGAGGGATGTGTTAGCCTGGTGATGGGTATTAAAGAGGGCAGGTACTGAATGGAGCACTGGGTGTTATATGCAAACAATGAATCATGGAACACTACATCAAAAACTAATGATGTAATGTATGGTGATTAATATAATATAAAAAAACTCATGATGTAATATATGGTGATTAACATAATAAAATTTTAAAAATTTTAAAAAAGTGGGGAAAACACAAAAAAATAAAATAAAACTTTAGGTGAAATAGGAAGTTAAAATGTTAAATTTAAACTCAAATGTAGTCATGTTTAAGACTTTATAAACAAATGTGATATCACTACTGGAAGAAGAATTCAGTACATGATTGTATAAGTACATCTTAAGTGATATAAAATGATCAATTGTTCATGAAAAATGAGAAAAAGACAAGCATAATACACCTGGCAGAACAGTTATCTTGACATTTTTCCATTAAACATACAAAACTTTTCCAGTCTATTAAAGTAATATAAAATTACCTGAAGGAATCATGCCCTGCGAACCCAGGCCCAATGTTATAATGCACATTAAGACTTCCCTTCCAGCTGTCATCTGGTGGAGCAGTTCCACCCATGGGACTGTTGAGAGAAAATGAAAATGACAGAAAAAGGCTGAGCATCACAATTTCTTAGAAGAAATCATGAAGCCTGATAATGAGATATTTCATTCATACATTTAACAAATATTTATTGAGCCCAGTACTGTCAATATTCCCTTTCTTTGTGGAACTTACATTTTAGCAAGAGAGCCAAAATTGAAATATATGAAGTACTTAATATGTTTGTGGTAAGAGGGCTTAGGGAAAAAAAAAATAGGGAAAGGAAATGAGAAGCATCAGCATCCTTACTTTTGACTTTATGTAGGGAGGCATTAGATCTAAGAAATAGTGAAAATAGCAAATTCATGACTATGTTAAGGAGAAGAAATTAATTTCTAGAGAAGCTGCTGGTTACCTAGTGGGCACTCATAAAACAATTATTAAATTGTATTGGTACAGACATCTAAAAAAAATAAAAGTTGGAGATTTGTGAAAGAACATCAATAATAGAATGCAAGAATAGCAAACATTAATTAAATGTTTACTATATACTAGATACTTTACACACTTGCATTGATCTCATCTCCTTCTCATAATAACCTTATCAGGAGAAACGATTACTATCCTCATTTCACAGATAAGGAAACTGAATCAGAGAAAGATTAAGTAATTGGTCCAAGTTCACACATCTAATAAGTGGTGGGCACTGTAATATTTTTAATACAGGTCAAGTACAAACATCAAATGAATATCAAAGAAAATCCAACTATTTGAAAAATCTCCAATCAGCATTTTTATCTTGGGCACAGTTTTACACTTGAGACTTTCATCTGTAGCAGACTAAAGGTTTCTTGCCATTTCTTGTTGTACTCTGTTATTCCTACATCAGGAACTATTTTGAAATAAGACTTTTTTTAAAACTCATTTTCCTACTTTGTTTCCTTATTTTTAATTTTTTGAGGTGTAAGTGACATATCACATTGGTTTCAGGTATACAACCAGAATTTATTCTAACATAATTAGATTATATTGGTTTTAGACAAGAAAATGGACACATTAGTGTAAAATATCTTAAATCTCATATCCAATTAGAAAATCATACCGTAGTAATATTTCTGCATCTTTATACCCAATAGGATGTACAGGGATCCTGGGGATTCCCACTCCTTCTTTGACATCAAGTCTAAACATGTACTCTGCAGAAATTAATTGCATAAAATGAAAACAGCTGAAAAATCTGAGCAAGGGGTATAAAGAAATTTATTACTATCTCAGATTTATTACATGTTTGAAATTATATCAAAATTTAAAGTTCCCCCAATGCCAATGATTGTTTTACCTAATATAGACTATTTAATTCAACAGTAAGAAATTAAATCATTCAAATTTTAATGTAAAATCAACTATGGGGATTATAAATTTCCAAATTTGTTTTGACATTTCATGTAATTCTCTTAAATTTTACAAGAATATTTTATTTCCTCAAGGAGATCTTGAATCCTTCTTAGGGAATCTTCAGTTAACTAGTTGCCTGGAAAATGTGTCCCAAATTCTGAAACTAGATATAACTGAAAAAAAATTAAAGGGAATTTATGAGATCTTGGGAATAATAAAGATCTTATTCAAATAGTAACACAATATTCTCTTTAAAGGAAGACTAAAAAGTACTGTCAGACTTACAACCTCATTGGGACTTTGGTTTTCAGCCAAAATAGTTGTATAGCACTAAAACACCTATCTTTAGAAACAAAAGATTTCAATCAAATGACATCAGATTCCACCTCAAGAAAATAGAAAAGAAGAATAAGGCAAAAATAAACAGGGAAAGAATATTATAAAGATCAGAGCAGAAATACAAGAAATAGGAGACAGAAAAATGGTAGCAATTATGAATAAAATCCAAAGCTGGTTCTTTGAGAAGATCAATAAAACTGATAAATCTCTAGCAAGACAATTCAAGAAAAAAAGAAGAAAAAAAGAAAGAAAAGAGAGAGAGAGAAACTGCCATGATCAGGAATAAAGAACAGAATATCACCGTAGTACCTGCACATGCATACATGCATGCACACACACATGCATACAGAATGAGAATATTATGAACAACTCTATTAAATTTAACTTAAGAGAAAATGGACAAAATCTGTGGAAGACATAAACTACCAAAGCTCATTGAACAGTAAATGGACAGCCTAAATAACCACATACCTACTTTAAAAATTGAATGTGTAGTTAAAAACATGCCTACAAACAAAACTTCAGGCCCAGATTTGCTAGGGAATTCTACCAAATGTTTATAAGCAAAAATGACTCATTCTATACAAACTCTTACAAAACAACAAAGATAAAATAGTTCGCAACTCACCCCATAAGGCCAACATTACTCTGATACCAAAATGAGACCGAAATACTACAAGAAAATAAATCTGTAGGCCAATATCCCTCATGACTAAAAACAGATATGCTTAACAAAATTTTAAATTCAATCATATACCAACAACATATAAAAGGATAATGTACTGTGACTAAGAGTTTATCCTAGGATGGGAGGGTTGATTTAACATTCAAAAATCTATTAGTATAATTTAACTAAAGTAATATAACAACTTATTATCATCCCAAGACTCACTGAAAGCATTTGACAAAATTAATTATACATTCCTAGATAAATGTGCTAAGATAAAATCTCTTAGCCCATTAGAAGTAAACTTCCCCAGCTTGACAAAAAGAATCTAAAATAAAACCTACAGATATATCATACTTAAGAGAGAAAGACTGGATTTTTTCTTCTTGAGGCAGGAACAAGGTAAGGACATCTCCTCTAACACCTTTTTCCAGAAATGTATGAGAGGTACTAGCCAGTATACTAGGCAAACACATTTTAAAAAGTAAATGGCATCCAGACTGGAAAAAAAGAAAACCGTGTTTACAGAAAACATGATGATCGTCTATGTAATATAGAAACCTACTAGAACTATTTAGTAAGTTTAACAAGCTTGCAGGATACAAGACTGATGTATTTCTTCTACAAAGTATTTCTACTTACTAGCATCGAACATATGGAAATTGAAATTTAAAATGTATTATTAATAAGCATACAACTAAGAAATGCATATGGGTAAATGAGAAAGATGTGCACAAGCCATACAGTAAAACTGCAAACATGTGGAGTTAATTAAAGAATACCTAAGTAAATGGAGAGTTGTGCCATGTGCATGGATCAAAATATTCATTATTTTTTAAGATGTCAGTTCTCCCCAAATTGACCTATAGATTTAATTCAATCTCAGTCAAATTCCCAGGACACTTTTCAATGGAAATTAGTAAACTGGTTCTAAAATTCACATGGAAAGGACCTAGAATAGCCCCAAAAACTTTGAAAAAAAATGTTAACTTGGAGGATTTACATATCTATTTGAAAGTAAAATTAAAAAGACTGACCAAACTAAAGGTAGCAAGGATATAGCAACTGGAACACTCATGCACTGCTGCTAGAATGTAAAATGGTAAAAACACTTTGGAAAACAATTTGAAAATTTCTCCAAAAGTTAAATATGCATCTACCATATTATCCAGTCGTTCGATTACTATATATTTACCCAGGAGAAATAAAAGCATATGTACATACAAAGACTTGTATACAACTGTTATTAGCAGCTTTATGTATAAGAGTCCCCAGTCTAAAAATGATCTGAATGTCCATCAACAAGTAAATGAATAAACAAACTGTAGTGTATCCATTCAATGAAATACTACTCAGCACAAAAAGGAATGAACTATTGACACAGACATCAACACGGATGGATCTCGAAATAATTATGCTGACTGAAAGCAGATCAGTGATTTAGGGACTGGCAGAGAGTGGGTAGGAAGGGTTTGGAGGAAAGTATTGTAAGAGAGGAGTGAAAACTTTTTGGGTAATGGATATGTTCATTATCTTAATTGTGGAGGCAGTTACACAGATGTTTAACATGTAAAATGTGAAAAGTTTTGACAACACCCAAAAACTCATTGATATTTAAAAAAAAATACAAATATATGATATCTAGAGAAGGCTAAAATCACCAAGCAATTCAGAAAACCAAAGTTCTAGTTTGGTAAAAGCAATATTACTTAGGGTATGGGATCTATGTTTCTGCACCTCTGCTAAAAGTAGAGAGAAAAAACAACAGGCCCTTCCCTCTCCATGTCCACACATCATGAAAATTTGAAACGAGGGTAATATATGGGAAATGTTTTTTAATTCCTAGCAATAGTAATACAAAATATTGTAATTGTATACAGTTTTAAGGTTATTTTGTAGATGTTTGCTTTTATGTCTTCTGTAAGGGCAGGTAGTATTTTTGCAAAAATGGGTGAACCAGGACAGGCCCATCCATTACCTTTAGCTGGATAGCCTGGAGTGAGCGGGTCCCCAGCACCATTCAAATTTAATACATTCCCTCTCTGTGCTGCAGTTCCAGGAAGGTTCCATCCTTTAGGATACGGCTGTACTGCAGGGGCAAAGTAATCCGCTGGATCGGAGTACAAGATGATTCCTATGGCTCCTGCTAACATGGCATTTTTAACCTGCAGGGGCAATGTGCAATCCATAATGTAGAACTGGCAGATGATTAATTCATCTAAGAGAAAATCAATTTAATAATGTAAGGAACTTGAGACACTGCTTTTTATCATGCTGCTAGACATTCAGTTCTTTATGCCTTGAATACAATTTCTCTCCAGGGGGGAGCTAACAACTCTCATTTATTCTGTACAACTCCAGACAAGTTATTGTCTCTTCTTTGAAACATTCCTATTGTGGCTAAAACTGCAAAATTAATGTCTCCCTTCTTTCTACCTCTTCTATTTTGTACATATTTGTTATAGGATGGGTCCTAGTATTTAAAAATATCTTTAAAATATCTTTCTCCCTTGCTAGACTGAGGATGTTTTTAGAAAAGGGACCATGTCTTGTTTACTTTTAACTATCCACCCTCCAAAGAATGGCACATCATAGAAATATCTGTGGAACTAAAATAACTTAAAGTTCTATACAGAGTGTGTGAAAAATTGTCCACTATGTTTTGTAAATATTTTCTAACAATCCAAACTGATCACATAGGAAAATCTTTCCTGCAAGATTCTTAATTCATTACCAGAAATACTGTAGCAAAAATAGATAACAATAAGTCTTGATTAACTAAAACACACTGCAATATTCAGAAAGCATTCTTATAATATGAATGGGAGTACAATCTGTCACAACTTTTTTTGAAGGGCAATTTGATGCCTTCCAAAATTTTGAAAGAATATACATGTTGACTCAGCCATTAAATTTCTAGGAATCCATACTATAAAAACCTTCACATAAATGTTCAAGTGCATATGGACCAAGATGTTCACAGTGGAATTATTTTTAATAGTAATAAATTCAAGCCAAGCTTGAATAAACTGCTTCTCACTTCTACAGAGTATTATGTACCCATCAAAATAACAAGGTATTTACTTAATAAGCAGCTATATAGAATTAACTTAAGTACCAGGCACTATCATAAGTGTTTTCAAACATAAAGTTATTTAATCTTCATAAGGATTCTAGGAGATTAATGCTATTATTAGCATTCTCACTTTATGTATGAGGAAACACTGGCAGAGAAAGATTAAATAACTTGCTCACAGTAAAAGATTGAGAAAACAGTCAAGAGCCTCGATTAGACAAGAATCTATGTTGTAAGAATCTAGAATCCTATACTTGTAACCACACATCATACAACTCTCAGTGTTTTGACATAGAGGAATACCTATATATTATTGCTGAGTGAGAAAATAAAGTTATATATAGTATATGATGCCATCTTTGTAAAAAAACTGTATAATATTTGTAAAATTAGTATATAGAAAAAGATATTTATACTCATATGTCACAGAATTAGGTCTAAGAAAAGCTGTGGAGATTGATCATGTCTGGGCAAATAAAATGGGCAATGTAGGGGATCTTTCAGTTTTCAGTTTACATAAAATTTCCCTCAAAAAATTTTAAAAAGCAAATTTTGTTTCTGTAATAAAAGTAATTTCCATTTCTAGATAGGTGAGGTAAAATAAAAACAGGATTTCCCGTGCAACCGTGGCACATAGGAGTAATTCTGAAAAAAAAAAGTGCAAGCTGCATTTACATTTAGAGGATATACACTATCCTCTTCTCTCTAGAAAAGGAGGTGATACAATACTTTATTTCCTCTGAAGATTTTTCCGTATCTTGCAATAACAATCTTTCCACTACAGTTGATGTTCATCTCTCTTTCCAGTTTGAAAAAATCTTCAGTACGAGCATAGTTCACATATATAAGATCACCCTGTAAGGAAAAGAAAAAATTTAAAAATATATAGAATACTGCAACAATTAAAGGGAAAACCAATGAGTAAGTTTGCTCCACAATACCACATTATCAAAGGTTATCTTTCCTGGATTGGGCTTAAAAAACAGATCCGTGCTAATTCTGTATGTTTTTAGAAAATATTTCAATACTTTGAAAGGTTGAAAAAATGCCAATATGTAACACTTTAAACAGTGTGTTCTGTTTTGAAGAGATTATCAGCATATACTGAACCAGAGGAAACAGAGATCATTTAAAAAATCCCAACTATGTTTTAAACAATTCACTGCACCAAAAATAATAAAATAGCTACAAATAAACTTAACCAAGGAGCTGAAAGACCTGTACTCTGAAAACTATAAAATACTGATAAAAGAAATTGAAGACACAAATAAATGGAAAGATACTCCATGCTCACAGATTGGAATATCAATAAATATCATTAATATGTCCATACTACCCAATGCAATCTACAGATTCCATGCAATCCCTATCAAAATACCAACAGCCTTTGTCACAGGACTATGAAAAATAATGCTAAAATGTGTATGGAACTACAGAAGACTTCAATTAGCCAAAGCAAGCATGAGAAAGAACAAAGCTGGAGGTATCACAATCCCAAATTTCAAGATAGATTACAAAGCTGTAGTAATCAAAACAGCATAGTACTGGCATGACAACAGAACATAGATCAATGGACCAGAATAAAGTCCAGAAGTAAACCCACACTTAACAATCAAATAATCTATGACAAAGGAGGCGAGAATATACAGTGAGGAAAAAGTCTCTTCAATAAATGGTTCTAGGAAAACTGAACAGCCACATGCAAAAGAATGAAACCAAAATACTTTCTTACACCATCCACAAAAATAGATTAAACATGGATTAAACCGCTAAATATGAGACCTGAAACCATAAAACCCCTAAAAGAAAACACAGGGGGAGCAATTTCTTTGACATCAGCCTTAACAACATTTTTCTAGATATGTCTCCTTAGGCACAGGAAACAAAAGCAAAAATAAACTATTGGGACTACAGCAAAATAAAAGCTTTTGCACAGCAAAGAAAACCATAATCCTAACTAAAGAGGGGAAGGATAGTTGTAAATGATATATCCAGTAAGGGGTTAATATCCAAACTATATAAAGAACTATATAAAGAACTTTAACCCAATACCAAAAAATACGGACAGACATACATAATCAGATTAAAATGGTCAAAAAAGCACTTTTTCATGTGTCTGTTGGCCATTTGGATGTCTTCTTTGGAAAAATGTCTGTTCATGTCTTCTCTCCATTTCTTGATTGGATCATTTGTTCTTTGAGGGTTGAGTTTTAAGAAGTTCTTTATAGATTTTGGATACTAGCCCTTTATCTGATATGTCATTTGCAAATATCTTCTCCCATTCTGTTGGTTGTCTATTGGTTTTGTTGACTGTTTCTTTTGCTGTGCAAAAGCTTTTTATCTTGATGAAATCCCAAGAGCTCATTTTTGCCCTTGCTTCCCTTGCCTTTGGCAATGTTTCTAGGAAGAAGTTGCTGCGGCTGAG